TACAAAACTTTTAGCTTAAGAACCTGAAAATCATATTACATCACTATTGTAGATGAATAATATTAATTTTAAAGGGTCAAAGTACAGACAGTGATAGAAAATGAAGACAGTAAAATAGACACTTACTACTTGGAGTTCATCAGGAACCAAAGCCTGGATCTCATGCATCTTGCCAATTGCCAACCTATTGTGCTGAAATATGAAATTGAAAAGGGTTCAATTTCAGCCATACATACCCAGAAATCAATTTATCTATAATGAAAAATATGGTATAAAGCCCTAAAGAAAATTAAATAAAATTCTTAGTCAAAAAACTTACTAGGGTTTTATGAGAGCTGAGTTCTTTTCTACCATGGTGATTCCTACATAGGAACTCCCTTTGTTGTTCACTTTAATCTACAGAAATTGTTACCTGTTCAGCGAATAAAACAATCAAGGATTGTAAATGATAGATAAGAAAATGAAATGCAATAAAAAGATGATTGTTTAGGTGGGAAAAAATAACCTTGTAAGAGGGGAAGAAGGCACTAGAGCGCTATCCAAGTGTTCTCCAGTGGTAAAGTCAGCAAAGCAAAGGGAATTTGTAATTATGACAATATATCAAACATGAAAGGCACAAATTACAAAAATTTAAGAATTGATAACAGATTCACAATATGAAGCAAACATGCACAAAAGAAACAAGAGAAGAAATCCCATAACATAACATGCTTGACAACTTACAACACAACAAATTACCGAAAGAAACAGAACCAAGTTCATCCAATAGAAGAAAAGAACAGACATAAATTGGAAAAAGGGTTAACATTATTGTCATTGAAATCAAAGACTACTGGCTGTGGGTGAGCCCCGTTTTCTTTGCTTTGCTGTTCCGACAAGAGGAGTTGCCTTTGCTTGAGAAAAGATCCTCCAAACAAATAGCAGAACTTTAAAATATGTTGAGTAATCTGGAGTCAACAAGAGATATTCAAGGAAGTGATCCTATAGGACTTGAAGACAGAGTACCAACCTGGTTCACAAGATGTTGACAAATCTCAGTATTAAACAAAAAGAAAAATGAAAAATCAAATGAAAAATGAAATATTAACGTTCCAACCACAGACATTAGCTTTACTCAATCCCAAAAACACGAAAGTATAAAACATGAAAAATTAAAAAATGATAATAATAAGTCAAAATAAGCATACTTACATCGTTGGCGTTTATGAGACAGCAAAGCAGAATGTTAAGGGTGGATGCATCTCAATCTCATCAATTCCAGAATACCTCCTCTCCTACATTGGCTTTCCCTCTGTCAGATTCCCAGCCGCACGTTTCCATTGTTTTCGTTGTGGACTGGAGGAAGAGGGGTTTTATTGGCACGTGTTATTGGGGTCCCACGTGATATATTTAATTTACTCACCATATCTGAAAAACTGAAGATTTCTCAAGAACTCCCTTGTAGATGAGATGACAGAATTTTTAAGCAACTAAACAATCAAATTCAAATTAGAATAAATCAGTCAGCATCTTACCCGATGTAACTTCAAGAAAGGTTGGAGCATGTTCTGAGCATTAGGATGATCCCACTTCAGTGATTCCCACCATTCTTTTGACTCCTGTTCATCTATGTTGATTTCTCTGAGATGAGGAGGAGGAACTGGTTGGCCATTATCAAGCAGGGGAAATTGCAAAGGGATCCTCTTTAACTTCCGACAGTGATGTATTGTAATTTCTTCAATAGAATCACAAACGCCTTTGCCACTGCAGATGTTCTTCAATTGGGGTAAATAGTTCAATCTCAATTTCCTTAACTTAGGAAAACTGAATATATCAGATGATGCGTCTGAATCTGATGATGCTATTATCTCCTCCATTTGCTCGCAACCACTAATCCAAATCTCCTCTAAATTTTGGAGGGCCTGCAATAGCTCAAACGGAAGCAACTTCGTCATTCCTAAACAATTGTGCAAAAGAAGGCTTTTAAGATTGGAAAAGATCAGCGGTAGTTTTGCTACTCCTTCCACTCTCACAAGTGCACTCAAGTTAGGCGAGTCCCTAATATACAACTCTTCAAGCTTATCCAGTACTGGACAACTCAATGAAGAGGAGGATGAGTCCAACTCAACCATGCACTCTATCCCTTCAAAATCCCAAATCAAACATTTTCTCAACTCGGTTGCATTTTCTAACAAAACTGCTTTGTTTGAGCTACATCTCATGTTTTTCATGTTTTTACAGTGATTGATCCACAAATCCTCAAGCTTATCTGGAAGCACTATACATTCTTCTCCAATCTCACACCCAAAGATTAAAACCTTACGTTGATATTCATCAGAAAATGCATAAGCTGTGATGTCTTGTTTACCTGTTGTCAGTCGAAGATCATAAGCCGTAAGACTTTCAAAATCTTCAGACTTATTGACAAGATAGTTGAAGTCTTGTATGCCCCCCATGCCACATTCCAAACTCCCCAAATTGCTCAATCTAACAACCTCTTCTAAATTTATCCTTCTAATAATTGCACTACTTGGATATACAACCAAGTACTGGAGACTGAGAAGGCTAGGTAATATTCCCATCGGAATCTCTTTTAGTTTTGGACAAAACAAATCAAGATATTCAAGACTCACCAACATCGCCATGCCTTTAGGGACCACCTCAATCCCTGCCCTATGCAGATCCAACTTCTTCAATGCAACAAGCTTCTCAAAGGAAGGCAAGTACTTTAACCCCCTACACTCCCTCAACCGCAGTGCAGAGAGATTCACCAAGTTAGAGATGGAATCAGGTAAAGCTTCAATACCAGTACCAGAAAGATCAAGAACCTTAAGTCCGATCATATCTTCAAAAAAGGAACTAGGAATCTCTGCCAAATCAGCATTATTTGACAATATCAAACCAACAGGAATTTTTGAAATGCCATTTGCTCTTAGAGATACCTTCTTAAGATCTCTTACCCACTCACTCTCATTCGGCACCTTTTTCAGATTCATACCAGCTTTTACCATATATCCAAATCCAACACCAATGCTTTTGATAGCCATGTCTCTCACAACATCATGCATCTTAAAAACATAACCATAACCATTCCCACCAACTGTTTTCTCTAACAAGCAGTTCTTTTCCAGCCTATTTAAAAAAACATGACCCCTATCATAAGCTTCTTGTCTTCTTCCTGACTCATCAATCAATCCTTCATCAATCCAACTTTCTATCAACTCCTTTCTAAAAAACTCATAATCTTCTCGAAATAAAGAGCAATATAAAAAACATTTTTGGATTTCCGAACTTTTTAGACGGTCATAACTAAATTTTAACCGCCTAAATATCTCATCCTCCATACCTTTCGCACTCTTTACACACTGGCGTAATTCATTTAGTGCATTTCTCCACTCTATAATGTCATATTCTCCCCTCATGCCCCCTGCTATTACAACAATTGCTAACGGTAAACCAGCACACTCCTCCACAATAAGCTTCAAAATTTCTTTCAATCCTGCAACTTGTAAAACATCATGTCCAACCTTGTTAAGGAATAGATTTAAAGACTCCCCTGGTGAAAGAGGCTGCACTTTAACAATCTCACAACCCAAAAAATTGCATACTTCAATCGATCTACTGGTGATAACTACTTTGCACCTGTTCTGACGTGTTGGTTCTCGAATTCCAACATCACTCAAAGAAAAAATTTCCCATACATCATCTAATATCAGCAAAAATCTCACCCTTTCCATTATATCCATTAGTTTTCTTGCCCGCATCATTTCTTCTTCATCTTCTCGAAGTGTTTTGCCCATAGCAAGTGCAATCTTCTTTTGTAATTCTAAAACATTGAGAGGGTAAGACACAGTAACCCAAATCACTTTCTGAAACCTGTCCTCCTTCAACAATTCATTGTTAACATGCTTCATGATTGTAGTCTTACCAACTCCACCAATCCAACAGACTCCAATTATTCCAACCTCATCATCCATCAAGTACTTCCGAAGTTTTTCTTTAACAGATTTTTCACCCTCTAAATCCTCTGTTGGAAGTATGATTCCAGGACCTCCAGCACTGGCAATTACAAGGCCTCCTGTAAAACTACCTTGTTTGTAGATTTCTTTTACCTCATCAATTTTTCTACGAACATCTTTCCCAAGACAAGCTTTTCTGTACCATTTAACTCTCCGTGCCTTTCCTAAAATAGCTTGAACTTCATCATTGATGGTTTGTACACGTTTGATCCAGAGTTGCACTTCTTCTTTCACCACCGTTTCTTCCACATGAACCTCCACTTGAAGTCTTGATTCAATATCTTGTTTTCGTCCATTTAGATCTTCCAATTTGTCTCTCAACCCATTCACATCACCATTAAATTTCCTGTAATGATCTACATAGGTGCAGGTTGGAGTGGAAAGGCAATTTACTATTTCAATGAGTGGGCCCACAATATCCGCCATTTAGAGAAGGCGCTGAAATTGTAATAAATAATAGAGATCAACATGTGCTTCTTGAGGTGTTCATCAAAAGAAAATCTGGCCATAAATTCATAAAAATTTTAAATTTAATAAATTACCAATAATTTCGAGTCAATTTCCAAGCAAAGGATGTTAAAATTTTACATCAAGAAAGGAGATGGAGCAATTAGCATATGTAAATAAAATTTTAATTATCTTCATTGGCTTCAAAGATGTTTTTATTTTCATTTTGCCACCATTTTTGGCCCTAGTTTTCAATTCCAAGTCAAATTCCTACCAAGCAATTAATTGAAATTTAAGTTACCAATTACAACCAAAAGAGGTTAAAAGTTGCTTTCCAATACTAACAAATGGAAAAAAACTAACATAAATCAATAATTTATTAATTATTTTCATTTGCATTTTTTTTTTTTTGCCTTGTCTATTAATTATTACTCTCATTAGCCTTTTTCCCTATTTTTTTTCCGATAATCTGATTTGAGTGGATTGTAAACAGAATAATAAGTTAATGATTTGTATATCTATATAAATTCACTAGTATACTTTTTATTTCATTTTATACCTCAAAGAGACTTTATATATATACATATATATTAAAAGATTAATTACTTAATATTACAAAAATTTAAATTTTTTATTTTAATTTTCAATTAAAATTTTTAAATAAATAAGTACCATCTCAACCGACAACATATATAACATAAATAAGCAGTTATTACCTTAAGGAAGGAGTTGAAGTATTTTGGACACTTATAATAACCAATTTAGATGGGCTAAAGCAAATAAAAAGTAGGAGCAAATCTGCAACCCTGGTTCTTCCAGATGAGGGGGTTGAAGTTGATGGATATTTTCTGCAAGAAAAATATGAGTGATTTAAATATCATCACTAAGGAAAGGTTAAAACTCTTTTTAAGTCTCTACTTTTTTTTACCAATTCTATTTTAGTTTCTCAGTTATTGCACCGCGGTTTTTCTTAGTTTCTCAACTAAAGAAATTTTTTCCGTGGTCCTTTAAAATTAATTTTTTTGACTCTTTTTACTTCAGTGCTTACTTGGTATTGTTTCTCTATTTAGTCATATTTAAATTTAAATTGATATGCTGACATGTGAAGATCAGTAAAGATTATATTTAATTTGGAAAAAAATACTGCCATGAAAAATGAGGACTTATTTGGATATGTCGAAAAATTGCTTTTATGGAAAAATTAGACACAAATTATGAAAATACCATATTAGCCTCTTCTTCCTCTCCTATTGCTCCTCTCTCCTGCCCCTTTCATTACGAACTCTTGGATGAGTCATGAGTGGAGATGAATTTTGGGTTTGGTTAGCAATGAAAAGAAAAACCAAAAAGTTAAACATTTTTGGATTTTCATTTTCATGACGAAACCAAACAAAAGATTTGAATGGAAAATGTTTTGTTTGGTTGCTCAGAATTTGTAGAGGGCATATGACTCTTTAGGGTCGGACATTTTTCCGTTCTTCTTCTAAAATCACTAAGGGAAGGGATAATTATGTTATTTTCTTTATAAAGATTGATTTTTTTTTTTTTTAAAGTTACTTTCTGTTTTAACCCCCAAAAAAGTTGTTTTTCTCTGTTATTAGTATGAGATAGGTTGCAATTCAGAAAAATGGAATCATGCATCCTGAACCATATCTAACATCTAAACAAACCAAAACTCAAGTTGGATATTAGGTTTGCTAGCCATCATCTCGAAGAAGGGTGGACTTGATCACATTTTGTTAGGCGGCGTCGGTAGCTACATTGGGATTGATTGAAGTTAGGGTTTGCAGTAGAGATGAATTTTTCTAACTTGTGATCAATTTCTTGTTTCTTTCGGTCAAAATATCCTATGAATTCCCGATTACTAATGTTAATTTGCAGTTGAATTAAGTACCCAGAGTCAACCGGTGCCGAGGAACTCAGAATCTATCGGCGCCGGCGAAGAAGATGCTTTCAAGAAAAGTTTCAGATTCTCTGTATTGTGTATTTTGGACACATGTTAACGTTGGTGTTAAGGGGGAAATAAATATGTATTTTTTTCATAAATTTATATTAAAAAATAAATATTAATTTTTAATTTATAAATTATTTAATTAAATAAATTTATGTAATAATTTTTTTAAAAATAAATTCGTAAGAAATCGAATTCAAACTATTGCTAAAGGGAAGAAAAGTATATTTATATGTGACCGACGTCACTGAATCGATAGTCCAAGTACAAATTTATGTAATAATGATATTAAAATTAATATAAATTTGTATACTATCTTATGAAAATGAACAATAAAAAGATCTCCTTAAGCGGTGTGGGTTAGAAAATTTTTTAATTTAATTAGAGTTATTTTTTTAAGTACAGATTTGATTTGATTTTATTTTTTTTATGAATATAGATTTTATTAACTAAACAGTAATGAATAAGTTAATTAAATCAACTTATGTAATAAGCGGGACCCACTCCTAATACTTTAAGGTAAATGCTTCGGTCAACTAACAATTAACCTTTTCGGGAAAAATGTTATGTAAGTTCTATTCTTAATTTTTTTAAGATTTAATTAAAAATTTATATACCGTCTAACTTAACATATTCATTAAAACTTATTAATTTAATTTTTAAAATTTAAAATTTAAAATTTTTTATTTTTAATTTAAATTTAAAAATAATAATTTTTAATAAATTTACTATAAAATATGTTAAATTAAAAAATATACTAATTAATGTATTAATTAAAATGCTGATAAAAAATATATTAATTAAAATATTGAATTTATAAATAAGATGATATGCACTGCAC